TCAATTAGGTATATGCACAACAGAATGTGCTATCATACACTGCACTGTCTATGGCAACCATAAAGGATGTCACCCTATTTTTTGAAAACTTTTGAAAATCTTAGACAACCCTCAAAAGTACTTTCGAACCGAAAAAAATTGTTACAAAATTAACATTTAAAATATTACACGTGTGAAATCTTCTGTCAGAATAAATCCATCGCAACAGAAAGTTGAATACCGGTATTGTTAATTTTAGGTTCTTTTTGTATGTAAAACAGTGTGATGCCACACAAAATCTTCACATCAGCACCCCCCCCTCACCACCCCCCCCCCCTCACCTTGCCCCTGAAGCGTGACATCCTTTACGGATGAGCTGATTGTTGTTTTAGTTCTTTCTGTGAAGTCTTGAATGTGTACAAATGTCAAACCTTGCCCCTGAAGCGTGACATCCTTTACGGATGAGCTGATTGTTGTTTTAGTTCTTTCTGTGAAGTCTTGAATGTGTACAAATGTCACTGAATCAAGTTACACTAGTCAGTTAGGCCATAAGTTACGCTAGTCAGGCCATAACAGTTACACTAGTCAGTTAGGCCATAAGTTACACTAGTCAGGCCATAACAGTTACACTAGTCAGGCCATAACAGTTACACTAGTCAGGCCATAACAGTTACACTAGTCAGTTAGGCCATAACAGTTACACTAGTCAGTTAGGCCATAACAGTTACACTAGTCAGTCAGGCCATAACAGTTACACTAGTCAGTCAGGCCATAACAGTTACACTAGTCAGTTAGGCCATAACAGTTACACTAGTCAGTTAGGTCATAACAGTTACACTAGTCAGTTAGGCCATAACAGTTACACTAGTCAGGCCATAACAGTTACACTAGTCAGGCCATAATAGTTACACTAGTCAGTTAGGCCATAACAGTTACACTAGTCAGTTAGGCCATAACAGTTACACTAGTCAGTTAGGCCATAACAGTTACACTAGTCAGTCAGCCACAACAGTTACATTAGTCAGTCAGGCCATAACAGTTACACTAGTCAGTTAGGCCATAACAGTTACACTAGTCAGTCAGGCCTAAATTTGCAGATTATGATCATGTGTGAGATGCCAATTAGGCATTAAGTTCCAGTTTTGTGCCAGAGAGATTCAAATGTTTGAGAATCGGAGGGATGCTGGTCTGTTTTTTCATCCATTTACTGTAATAATGTTTCCTTTGAACCCCCCAAGGGGGTAAATAAAAAAAAATCAATAAATAATACCCCTTCAGCAGTTGGTACTAATGTTACCAGCTAATTTTATCTTAATTCTTTAACAATTTGTATTCTCAACATTAAAAAATATAATACTGATAAGATAATTACAGTCAAGATTTGTTTCTCAGTTTCTAGAAGTAATCCTGGTTGTCAGGCGCAATAATGTGATAACGGCACAAAAAGGTTGAGAACCGCTGAGCTGAATTGTTTTAGACACGCGACCTTTGTCAGAGACTCCCGCTCAATGTTGTGTGTAGCCCATTCCCAAACGGGTTTTTATATCTCCTATGTCGCCGGTGACGTGCAGGAACAAGACATTTGAGACATGTGATCTTATTTTAGAGAGCAAGGCCGACCTTGTGTTCATTACGGAGAAGTGGTTTAAGAAAGTCGGAGATGAGGTCAAGCTGCAAGAAAATACACCCCCGGACTACCCCCTCCATTCTTGCCCAAGGTTGTCGCGCGGTGGCGGTGGTATTGCTGTCCTTTACAAGAGCTCCCTCAAGAATAGTCTGGCCTTCTCAAAATCAGACCAGTTTGTTGTTTCATTTGAGATTTGCATGATGCAACTTAATTATTGTGACCAAAGGATTACGCTTCTGTGCATATACAGGCCACCTCCCAATAAGCGAAATATGTTGAATGTCTCCCAGTTTACTGCTGAATTTAGACAGCTCCTAGACTCGTACGCCTCTACCAATAACAACATCATCATAATCGGTGATACCAATTGCCATTTCGATTCCACGACCAACAGCTATGTGAAGACTCTGAAATCAGCTCTTGACACATACGGTATGATCCAACTTGTCAGTGTCCCTACACAGAGGCGGGGGTCACATCCTGGATTGGCTTGATATCAGAGGACCCCGCAGCTATGATCCACAACCTCCTTATTGAAGATAAAATGATCTCTGATCACTTCCCCGTAGTCTTTGACTTGAGGAAACCAGAGCACCCTCTGCGCAGTGACCTCCGAAAAATAAATCTAGTGGCCTTCATTTGCGACGTCGCCGACCTCAGGTGCAGTGAAGAAGACCCTGTGACAGACTAAAACAAAGGCCTTATAGTCATAGACGAACATGCACCACTGTCCACACGGCGCGTTACGGACCGCCCCTCCGCCCCATGGCTCAGGCCAGAAAATAAGGACGCGAAGCAGAAGCTGAAGCAGCAACATGCTGAACGTCAATGGCGGAAGTCGGGCTTGACCGTGCACCGACAAATCTTTGTTGATCAAAGGGAACGAACCAAGAAGTTGGTCCTTGCAGCTAGGACTGAGCATATTAGTCATCAGATTACAGGCAGCAGCTCAAGCAAGGATTTATTTCGCATTGTGGGTCAGCTGACCAGTAAAAACTAGGCTACATCTCTGCCAAATAACATTGCTGTAACAGAGCTGCCAGACGCTCTAAATGACTTCTTTATAACGAATGCTAAGAAAATCAGGGCCAGTTGCATCGATTCCAGCAAGAGTTTTGCCTCTACGTGGCGCGACCGACTTGACTATCCCAAAGCTAAAAAACTCACATATTTAATTACGTCTGTCTCCCAAGGTGAAAAGGGGGGGGGGGGGGGGTACTTTTAACCCCCCTCTGGAAGGAGGCGAGAGAAAACAACCTAGTCATTATTATTTTTACATGGCTAGTAAAATAAACATAAATCTAAATGAGGGGAACTCGAATCCCCTCCTCCCCTGCAGATCTGTGACGGGGCTCAGGCCGACTGCAGGCTCTGGTGCTACTGGGAGGCTCAGATCGACTGTGGGCGCTGGTGCTACTGGGAGGCTCAGACCGATGTGGGCGCTGGTGCTACTGGGAGGCTCAGGCTGACTGTGGGCGGTGGTGCTACTGTGAGGCTCAGACCGACTGTGAGCGCTGGTGCTACTGTGAGGCTCAGACCGACTGTGGCCGCTGGTGCTACTGGGAGGCTCAGGCTGACTGTGGGCGGTGGTGCTACTGTGAGGCTCAGACCGACTGTGAGCGCTGGTGCTACTGTGAGGCTCAGACCGACTGTGACCGCTGGTGCTACTGGGAGGCTCAGGCCGACTGCAGGCTCTGGTGCTACTGGGAGGCTCAGACCGATTGCAGGCTCTGGTGCTACTGGGAGGCTCAGGCTGACTGAAGGCTCTGGTGCTACTGGGAGCACTAGGCAAAGTGCCGCTGGTCACCTCCCTAAAACCGTAGTAATTATGCAGCTTAACTTCAACGAGGTCAGAGGGAAAATCCCAGAGCTCACCAAACTTCTCCACAGCCGGGAAGTGGATGTGGCTCTACTTCAGGAATCCCTACTGAAAAAGCAACCATTGCACGTCACAGGGTTTTCAGTTTACCGCTGCACTTGTCAGAGAGGACCGCCCAGCTATGATCCACAACCTCCTTATTGATACAACAACAGTGATGATATCACAATAGAAGTCACGTGCTAAGACACTTTAGATCAAATCTTTGAGTGACTTAACCTTGTCCCAAAGACAGAAAACTTGTATCAGATGGCAAATAAGCACCACTATGGCACAGACTGCGATCAGCTTCCAGCTGTCTCCGTCCTTGAAAATGTCTGTGGAAGAATCATAATATTAGGTGAATTCAATGCAAAAAAGAATTAAACCTGGTAAATCAATAGAAAACAAAGGGTTCGCGACCCACAGGTTGAGAACCGCCGTCTGATGTGCTCTCTTATTTCCTATCATTTGTCCTCTCAGTAGTTTGGCTTCCATGTGGTCTGAGACCCACAGGTTGAGAACCGCCGTCTGATGTGCTCTCTTATTTCCTATCATTAGTCCTCTCAGTAGTTTGGCTTCCATGTGGTCTGATAACTTTTCATTTCTAGGCTCCACTTGGCAGAAATACCATGAAATGTCCTCATACAATGCCATTACATTTTTTAAAAAGCGGCCAATCCTTGGCTAGTTTGAGAGCAGCCTTTCAATCTACTTCTGTATCTGCATAGAATAGTTTTTTTTGCTAATAAAAAAAGCCAAAGTTTATTCCGTGATATTCCGTCCCTTCTGACTCATGTCCACTTGCCGCAAGGTGTAACATTCTGCTCTTCACTTACAGTACTTTAGAAACAACAGAAGAAGTTGAGGAAGTAGGGGAATTTGAATAAAACAATATTAGATTAAATCTAATCTTAAATTTTTTTTTTACAACTTGTTTATTACTTTAAGATAAATTCACTTTATTCTTTATTATCATTCATCATTAATTTTGTCCTAATCTGTGTTGGATGTTACCAGTACTAAAAATGTCAGTGGCATTGTTTTTTTAGTCATTAAAAAGTGATTGTATCATTTTGTTTAAAAGAAATCAACAGTATTTTAATGACATTGACATTATCTATTGATTTAAAGTGTTGATAGCATCATTACATGGATATCAAAGAAACCAAATTTTAATTATCGGATTATTAGGAAATTTTTTTTTTAACAATTACAATAACAGATATCATTAATTTGAATTTGGATATCATTAATTTGAATTTGGATAGAATTATTTCAAAATTAGCTTATATATGGGTATTTGTACACTGCAGTAGTCTGTATTTGTGAATTTCTAAGCATCTTATGCTAATGGAAGCCTAGATTCTTAAGACTAATGTCCAAAATTAATTTATAAAAATTTGATAAACGATACCTAGCCTAAATAGTACACACATACATATATATATAAGATACAAAATGATACATATAATAGAAGAAGAAACATATTTGCATAAAATGAGAGTTTTTTTATTGAATAAATTTTAAAATTCAAATTCAGAGCAAAAAGTACTAAACTGAAAAACCTTTAACTCAACACAAAATCAACATTTCTCATTAAAAAATGTTAAAAAGTTGTCAACAGTACCGGTATGTAGAATTCAGTACCGGTATGTAGAATTGTGTGCCTGATGGAAACACCATTTTAAAATCATATTCATGATTATAACGTATTGAAATTACAAAACTTTAAACTCGTCTATCTCAGAAGTGCTAAAATACACTTAATAACTTTTTCTAGTCGGCCCTTCAATTGCTGTTTTTAATTTACAAAAAATGAAATAATTAGATCATGGAAATAAATTAGTGAGCATTTCATCATGATGGCAACGGCACATTTATTATTGCTAGAAAAATAACATGGGTATGGCTTACATGAATCAAACAATATAATACTAAGAATGCTGAAGTTTTGCATATAAACAAAAAGAATGGACAATCGGGAAGAAAAATTCAGGATATTGTTAGTTATCAAATTCTTAAGAAAAAAAAACTCATCTGCAAAATGAGATGTTTAAGGCAAGCAGCTGATAAAACAAGAAGGGATCATAGTCAGAACAAGGAAATAAGGACAAATGGTTGGTGACATATCAATCAGCCAGTGTATGGCCCAAAAGCAAATTTTAACTTAATGGGTTTGCCCAACCCGTCGGAATGCCTGTCAATCAACCTGAAATGCAAGCCTACTTTGCAGGCACTCCAGTTTCGAGGCCAGAACAGGTCCAGGCCGGACGCGGATCTTCTGTGTTAAGGACAACTTCAAAGACCAAAACAGGAATCTTCAGCAGGTCTCACACCTTGCGACAGATCGCCAACAGTACCTCCCTGCAAGGCCACTCCTGAAGAAACTGACAGAAGAATTATCATTCATTAAAATTGTTAGCAAAAAAGATTGAATAGAAGCACATGAGGCAATGAGGACACTAAGATAGAAAATAAATACATTATAAATTATTATTATTATTAATTAAATTATATCATGTCCTTCCATTCTCCCACACTAATGAAAACATACCAGTATTACTAGATCAGGGTCAACAAACTTTTTGGCGTTATTACCCAAAACTATTTTTTTTTACATCTGCATTACCCCCTCGACTTGAAAGGAAGAAAATCATTTAATCTTTATTTATAAGTAAGATATAAGTATAAATATAAAAAATATAAAATAAATTTGATAAGATAAGTAAATGAAATCCTCATTATGGAACATACAGAAAGAATTCTTTCAAATAAATTGCACTTCAAATTTTAAAGAAATGTTTGATTTTGATACAATGTGTTATGTTATATGATGATATGGCCTGTGTGTTGTCCTAGGTGTTGTTCACAACGAGCCGTGTCATGCAAACTTACTTGAACCCCTTTTTGTTTTGATGTTGACCTTGATGATTCAATGTGTAGAACTCTACCATGACCTACCCCTCCCTAACTTGAAAAAAGCTTGTTTACATTCAAATTTGTTCTAAATGGAAGGTAGACAATAAACTAGGGTGATGCCATTTCTAGAATAGCTTTTCTGGAGGGTTCCAACTCCATCCCTATGAATAAGCCGACAGCTTTCCCAGCAGGAAGAGATTTGCAAGATATCCTGACAAGATTTTTCTTTTTGTGTTTGTGTATTTTTCACTTGCTGAGCTGTAATTCTGGAATGTAGTTTTTATTTCTGTTTATTTGACTTTGTATTTTTATATAAAATAAAGAGTATAATTAAAAACTACTAGCTTTGGCAGCTTTTGTCTTAGTTTACTGGTTTTCAGTCCTTTCTTATGCATTGTTCATCTACCGAGCCAAATCTTAAAACAGATTAAATCTGCAAGACCCTACCACAGTACCTAACACAATGACCAGACCTGGTGTCCGCTGACAGGGGGGGGGGAGGGGGGATGTCGGGTCGCAACACCAAATGGAAACTATTAAATTTGATAGAGCTTGTTCAACTTGGTTTCAGAACAGAAGTTAAATACTAGAGCAGGGTGCCACCAGAGCACAGGCACACCAAAGGACCATGGGGAAAGTCGGGATGCGGTGACACCGTGAGTTTATCATACTGGTAGACACCAACTCTAGTGACACTATTACTATTGAACATAAAATAAAATAGGTGACTAGGCCAAAATTGCATGTACTTTACAAGACGTGAGCTTATACTACCTGCTTAGCCACTAGTCACCACAACATTGGTGAGTTTCTCTATAACACAGGCCAGATGAAGTGTTCACAGAAAAAAATCTATTTTTTGTAAACTTTGAATTGAAATAAATTTTATTTATGTGTATAGCACTTTCATTACCCGGTATACCCCAAAAATTTTCATTTTTACCCCATTTGGGGTAATTTACCCTGGTTCGCCAACCTCTGTACTAGATGGATGGCCCCAAACATTGGATTTACACATTCTTTTTTCAAAAACTACATTTTAAAAAAATGAAATTAAACCGAATATTTAACTGTGGCCTTATTACCTTCAGCTGGTGGAGGCTTTAGTGATGGCAGCAGCTTCTTTTTGACATCGCTGTTTGAGGTTAGAGAGGCCAACTTTAAAATTTTCTGCACCGCCTCAGTTTGATGCAAAAGTTCTATATCCCGATCCTTGATAGCTACCTCATCTTTAAATGTCAGCCTGGATTTTACAAACTCCTCACGACTATCGGATGACTGACAGTTCTCCTCCTCGGAAAACAGATTTCCAATTCCCAGGGCTGAGACTCCCAGGGGCATTGTGCTTTTCCGGTTCAGAGAGTGCTGCATGGGGATGTCTCCAAAGTCATCATTCGCAGCATGTTCATTCTCCAGAGGTTTTGAGGATTCCCCTTCAATGTCTGTAATTGAAAACAATCACGAAATGCAAATCAGAATTGTTGTTTAAATCATAAAAAACATACCTACATAATTTTCATGGATAGTTCGACATATAAATATAAGCTCACTCTGGTCAGCACAGAATATACATGTGCTGCAAAACTCTGCGTAACGGCAGAAAAAGAAAAAATTATTTTTTTTTAAAAACATTTATGTTTATCTCCATTTTAAATTACTGGTACAACTTTATAGACTAAAACTAAAATTTATTTTTAAAAATATTTTTTTTAATACAGTTGCTTCAAATTTGGAACTCAAACCAAGTTTCAAAGCTTTAGAATTCTTTCCCCTTGCAGAGTTCTCTCCCTTGCAAGCACTGACTCCTTACCCTTAAACAATTTAAAACAATGTAGATTCAGTGCATCCCTATGAAATATACTAAGGAAATTAAATTTTTAAGAACCTATTTTCTTTTTTTCCATTTGCATTTTCCTGCACTTCTTTGCTAACTGTCCCACAGTTATTCCAGCGGGGATAAAGGAAGACATACTTATAGTTTCTTGACTCTTCAGAGGAGCTTCACTACATTCAGGTGGCGAAGTCAAGTTTTGAAGCAAACTTGGTGGTCTGTTTAGGAACGCATCACCGGGGGCTTTCTTTTCTGTTGATTCCACATGCAGCCTGCTCGTCAAACTGTTTCCAGCCAATCGACTCCTGTCACGGGTTGTTGTGGGTGAATAATTAGAGCAAACAGATTTGTACCTCGATGGTGATCCTACATCCCCATCACTGTTGGAATCTGAACCACCTCCAGCACACTGGACTTTTGGGCTGAGTCGTTCAAGAGGCCAAGGTGGTGAAGTTACAAGAGCAGAATGCTGTTCTCTTTTGATGCATGTCTGCTGGTTAGGCGGTGAATTTAGAGATGCCTGATGGTTCTGGTCTTTTAAAGAACACATTTGATGGAGAATGGAGGGGGATTTCACAGGCTGAGAAGTCTCATCTTTTTTCACACTCTTTGCAGAAACTTTCCAAAGTTTTGATTTTCTAATACTTTCAACAGCAATGTCACAATCCTTAGATTTGACATTATTTTCAGGACGCGATGATGACCGAGAAGTTTCCATAGCAGATTGTGAAGTGGACTGATGATCTGATGAATCTAGTTGCTGACTGCCCATTGGGGACAATTTAATATTCTCAACTTCAGGACTAGACTTTACATAGTCTTTTGAATTTGGCCTTGTCATATCAGTTGAACGAAATTCTGATGATGAAGGTGATGAACTACTAGGACATTCTAGACTTTTCTGGCCTTTCCGGGGTGATCCAGTCGGTCTTGTTTTAAGTTGGATATCACTAACGTTTATAGGGCTTGCTGCATCAGGCACAGAATTTGTACTGTCAACTTCCACTGAATTCTTACTGACTAAGTTGAAGGATATTTTATCATCTCTCTCCTCAGGAATCATCAGGTTTTGATTAGGAGATTCTTTTATTTCTGGCCCAATAGTTGTCTTTTCCTCTCTTGGATGCGGGTTATTTTTCAATTTTGTGCTCCTTTCTTTCGGCACCTTTCCTTTGTTGTCCGTTTTTCTCTCGCCTGAGGAATAAATTGATACACCATGTGAAAAATAGCCTATAAATAATTCAATGACAATAGCATTGTAGTCCCATAAATTCAGTAAGAAAGAGAGGGCATCAACCTTCTTTGGGAGAACTGTTCATATATTGTTTAAATGCACAAATGCCCCCCCCATTTAGAGACTACCTGACTTATTTTCATAGGCCACTATTTGTTTTTCAACTATTTAAAGTAGCTATTTCCCCAAAGTAATGGTGGTTTTCACAATTTCCATAATGAATCAGAAATAATAGATAGAACTACGTCAAAAATAATCAAACACATTATTGTGGACTGCTTAAGATAACCAGTTTGCAGAGTTAATACGTCCTAAACTTCAGGTCTGTTTAAATCTCCTTAAACGTTACTCCAAATGGACATGAAACAACCAACAAAATTATTACAATTTAAAATCCCTTACCTAAAATTTAGTTAATCTCTAAAGTAAATCTCTAAATAATACTTCATGTGTTTGCAGATAGCTCTATTTTATTGTATAAAACTAATGAAATTAATGCACACTACATTTTACGGTGAAGTAGCATTGAGATGTTTCAAATTTAACACAGGCCTTCATTGCCCTGCATTATGACTTCTCCAAATACTGGGGTATTTGGAGAAGTCATAATGCAGGGCAATAAATATAAAGGAAATCTTGTGCATTATTAGGATAAATTACTAAACAAATATGTACCAGATGCATATATTTGCACTGTTCAACATATAATTTTATGTCTTTACATTTAGACATAGGGAAAGATGTTCCTTAGACAACATATTACAAACATATAATGTAGGTAATTTTAACTTGCACAAAAGTAAAAAGTCGTTCCCACACATTGTTATAATGTCTATGCTTTTATTAACAACTTACCAGACTTATATGATCTATGCCATATTGAATCGTGGCTAAAAGTGATCTCCTTGTCTTTGATATTTGGGCAGTTTTCTCTGAAGCCAATTTTGTCATACTGAACTTCTCTCTTGTCACCACTTTCAATTAAGTTGTAATAGCTTGTGTAGTGCTGGATGTTTTGAAATGCATGTGGCAAAAGGTGGAGGTTTGCCTTTAGAAACAATATTATAATTGCATTAGGTAAAGGTTTGCCATTTGAAACAGTATATTACAGAATTAGCAATGAAATGGCATTATTGTCTACTTACTTTTCAAATTGAATAAAAACTTGTATGTTTTTTATGGTTAACTGTTTACCATTAGAGATGATGTATGGTTTTCATGGTTAACTCTTTGCCAACTGAAATGATGTATGGTGCTAATGGTTAACTATTTACCACTAAAGATGATAAAATTAATGTATGATTATTAAAATATCAGAAAAGCAAAATAAATGCACCTTTGCACTTTTTTAAATTGTTGTCTGGACTTCTCTATTCTGAAATCCTTACTCTATGATTAGAACTATTTTTTGTAAGGCTGAAGAACGATATCCCATGTTTTTGCTGTTAATGAAAGGAAGTTTATTCCTTTCAAGGTAAATAGTTATTACAAAGCCAGTTTGATAGAGATCTTGAAAAATGCTAAGTTCCACAACCTTCGGCAGGTGTAGAAAAATAGATTTAAAGATTTATCTTAGTGTGATTCTTAACTCTCTTGGGCCTCACTCGCAAGAAAAGTGCAGGCTCCTGAGAACATAAAATACTAAAATTATTCCAGTAAAACTACATACCCTGCACTTTTCCACTTCACCACCGTTATTGTCGACATGGTTTAAATAAATGTAGACACCAGTTTTGAACTCCAAAAGCATCTTTTTCATCAGTACATGATGCAGTTGTATTAAGTATTTGATGTTCATGCAGGCAGCTGACAATAACTTATCGGCTAAGGGCCTCTGGAGCCAAACAGCTTCATCTTTCTAAAAATAAAAAAAAGTACAAATAAAAGTTTTAAGCCCAAAACAGAAGTGCAGTATATAATATACAATAAATACCGGGTACCCATAATCTTAATAAGTTAATTCTTGTCTTGTTACTAGACAGAAATTGTTTTTTATCATGATAGGTAATAAAGTTAAAGGTACATGTGTGGCAGATATCAGCTTTAATGCTAATTGAATAGGAAACTCTGACAGCAACGCTACCGCCCAGAAGATAAAACTACGCTGTTTAGTTTAATTAAAAAGCATGGCACACCTACTTTTCTAAAATTTCCGCTGACCCGCATGAAATGAACTTGGTCATTGGAAAGATTCAGATGATTTACTAAGCATCCTGGCAAACTTTCAACGTGACGAGGCCACTCACCATGGTGAATCAATCGATAGACAAAAGCATTGGCCACCTAGAGAGTTCATTATATCAATTAAACTAAAAATTGTTAGAGAGTTCATCATATCAAGTAAGATAAAAAAAAGATATCGAACAAAAAAAGTTTTTCTGGTTATCTTGACCTGGCCAACTTAAGAAACTTATTTGCAAATTGCAGCTGCGTGTTAGAAAGGACTAGTTTCAAAACTGTGGGCTGACATCCAGGGGGGGATGCATTCCTATATTTATTATTTTATACAAAATATAAATGGGCAGAATTTTTTTTTTTTAAATTTAAAACAGGATCAAAGTAACAAAGTTTGAAAAACACTGCTTTCTTTTTAAGAGTAACGAATATTTGCTTATGAATATCACCAACACATACCAATTACTGTACAATATTACCTGAGTATCAAAGATGTTGACCATGGAAATTTTATATTTGTGGTGCATCATGTCAGACACAAATCTACAGTCATGCATTACCTGAAACGAAAAATATTTCTTAAAAGGAAATGACTATAACAATGTGACTCAAAAGTTACCATTACACAAGCTTGAAATCATTAAGTTGTTTTTTTTGTGGTCGGGTCGCTCTTCCATTGACAATAGAACCCTCTCAATCCCAAGAACAAAACTAAGACCATCGGTGAACGCTCCTTCTACTTCCATGGGCCCACGTTCTGGAACCAGCTCCCCTTCCATATCCGCCATTGTGAAACTTCGTCCACCTTCAAAAAGTCCCTTAAAACCCATCTGTTTAGGTCTGCTTATGACCTGTGATGCACCCTCCTTGCCCTGCCCCATTTTCTGTCTCGGGTTGATCCTGCAGTATAGGCCAAAACGTGTCCTCGTTTTATAGCCATTTTAATTGTTTCTATAGTATAGTAGTTACTATCCTAGTGTCTCATTTTTATTTTACTTAGTTTACATGTTTTTAATAATTGTAAAGCGCTTTGAGCTTTAAGGTAAGCGCTATATAAAAATGCCTAAATGAATAAATATTTTTAAAAAATTAGAAAAACTATTACTTACTTTTAAAATAGCTTTTGAGGCAAACAGTGCATCGAGACCTTCATTGAAAGCATTTACACCCATCTTCAGCATGTCAAAAACAAACAGTTTAGTTTCCGTTGCGACCTAGACAGAAAAGACAAGAAAATAATAAGTCTTCCAAAATGTGTCATTTCAGCCTTGACAATATTGTAAAGGTGGAAGCGGTAAATGTATGGATGAGAATTACTTGCTCTAATCATAACTAAGTGCAGACATCATTACATAATTAAGCCAAAGCCGCCGTTGACTCTCATTATGCTAATCAACACAAATTATCTGCACAAATTCTTGATGGTCCCGGGGCATCTTGGCCAAACTGTTCAAAGGGTCCCAAACCAAACTGTACATAAACATTAACAAAGTGGGTGCCTGGAAACTTGTGATCATTATTTACAATTTGTATTTTATTTCAATCATTTATGGCTGATTTGAATGAATCTTTTCCCTTTTGATAATCTCCGACATTTGTATGGTACCTAAGGCAACAAGTGTCAGTGTTTATTTGACACCGTCAAAAGAGATTTAGATCATAAGAGACCAAAGCAAACAATTTAATGTCTGTTTCTCAAATTTTTTAAAACATGCGCCAAGCTCAAAGTGGTGGAGCCTCAATAATTTAATCCAGGGTGTTCCGTCATACACTCACAAAGGAACTTACACAGTTGCGTGTCTAATTCAAACTTTACGTCTCTTCAAATCAGGTTCTGCCATTTAATTGACAGTTTGGAGCAGAATCAAATAATAAAAAAGATTATACGATTATAAAATGTTCACTCATGCAGACTCAACAATAACGTACATAACAAAGAAGATCCAAACCGCTTCAGTTTTAGAAAGTGAAAACATCATTAAGTTCTTTACTTTAATGTCAAAAAAATTAATAAATCATTCAGTGTTAAGCATAATGGCTAATGCTACTGTTCTTGTTAGGAATACTGTATTAAAAGAAAATATTTATTTAAATGAAATCAAAAGAATACTAGCTACTTTAGTTCTTGCAATTATAATAATGGTTAAATACCAACAGAAATGATCTAAACGTTACTACAAAGCTGTCTATTTACAACTACATAACACTCTGTCATAATAGACACCATTTTCCACACTACTGCCTCTCAACCACTGTGTCTCCTAAATACAATGGTCGTCACAACCTCTCTATGCACCAAACAAAAATATTTAAATTAAAACCTATGAATATCAAGGGCACTTTTTATTGGATGAATCACTTGTTACAGAGACACCTCTTAAAAAACACCATCTGAAGAGCGCCCCACTCTGCTCCAAGTAAATAACACTCACTGAGCTGGAGAACATGAGAGTTTGAACTATCTTTTCCTGGGTGTCCTACTCAGAGCTAATCAAAAGCTGCGATTGTTCATAACAGCAGTTCTCCTCAGACCCGTTGACATGGAACTCTACTCAACTACCAATCAAAAGTTAAGCTCCTTTGTAAAAGCAGTTTTCCTCAGACCCGTTGACACGGAACTCTACTCAAAATACACGTTTTTAAATAACGATGAGACAGTTTAAAATTCTTTAGATTAATACCAATGATAAATGAAAACCAACCTCGATCAATGATAAGGTGCCGTTTCTTCCCAAGTGTACCCCATCAAAATTTACTGCGACGATGCTTTGTTCCATAATATGCTTCATCTGAAGATTAAAAAAGTTTATAAGAATATTATGGTTTTCATAATATAAATATACACAGATTGGTATTTAGTTATGTACAAAAAATTCTAATACTAACCAAGTAAATAGACAAATTTATCAATAGACAAAATTATAAAATACTCACTGCATCATAAAACTGATCACATATCCTATTCAGGAGGATGTACTCTTCAGTCTGTCTGTAATCTTCCACATCCTTACAGTCTTCTTCAAAGCCCTCTAAATTCAAAATTTTTTAAACAAAAAAATTGAATAAAGGTGCAGTTTCTAAATCTTCAACACTGAAATTTAATATTGTTTAAAACAAAACAACGTAATGATTTCGGTCGGCAATAACGAGACATACCTTTATCACTGTCATTATTGGCATCCTGAAATATGTTAGACATCGTCAATTCATCAGTGTCTAGATCTTTCAAATATGAAAGATGAGCAAGTGGAACTTTTTCAAAATTGAAGTTCTTTTTCCTTTCAAAAAAAAAAATTAAAAAATATTTAGAAAATTCAAGGCTTTAAGATTTTGCTGTATAAATACAGTATGCATCAAAACATTACGTACTGAAATGAAAAGATACGATATCAACTTCTTATCCACTTTTAGCATGTATTTTACCATCGCATGCGCAATTCAGTGTCTCTAAGCCGGCAGAGGTGTGTGGCCACATGGGTGTGTGTTTGTTGTTTGTTTAGACTAGTGTTTGGCAAACTCAGAAGTTAAAAAAAAAAAAAAAATCAGCAGCAGGACCATCACAAAATTTTTGAGAACCTAATTTATTTTCATCAACCTGTCGAGAATCATGTTTTTCGGAGTCAAAACCAATTTCTGTCCTAACAGCAGCATAGGCTCGCGAGCCACGATTAGCTGACCACTGGTTTAGACGATTATTGTATAGGATGGATGGGATGTGGGGTGGGGGTTGTTATACAACATTTTTGTAAAAAAATTAACTTCTGTGATTGTTTCTTCCAACTTTGGAATCTAATTCTAATTAAAAATAAAAGCTTCCAGACAACAGCATGAAGACCTTTTAGTCATTAAACTAAGAGTGGGTTTAGGTCAGTAGGTGCACCAAAAAAATGCTGGGAAAAACTTGCGTTACTTTAGTTGTACGTTTCAAAGAGTGCACCATTTTGCTGTAGACAATGACCATATCATTTGTACAGATTCTCAAAGATATCCAGGAATAAAAATGACCATAGACTCCCGCAAAAGGAGAAAATTTGCAAGTGTAATACAGGCATATTTCTAGGGGAATTTCACAGTTGAACACAAGTACGGCAGGTCAGTACCACTTGAAACAAGTTGTCCTATTAGGTTTTCATCTAGCGTTATTAGAGATCCTCAAGCCTGGTGTGGTTGCTCACACCAACCTCTCGTTAACACTATCAATTTACCTGAAGGCCCCTTGAATACTTTTTCCTCCCACGACATGCCAATTTACAAGTGTACAATACAACTGACTCGTCACATGGTATGGGCATTCACCAAGATTGACTTTCAGTACCAGTGATGCATATTTTGGCACATGCAGTGTTCACCTAACTCTCAGATGATTCTCTCAGTAAAAGTTATCTGGTTTTCCAACACTGTATTTGATGAATAACAAAATCCTCCCCTTCTCGACACACCCATTTCTGTTGATACATTAAAGAAAGAAAAAAAAAGACGACACAACTTTTTAAATCTATTTCCTATGGAGCAAGTGCTTACTTGAATCGTAGCTGCTTTTGATTTTCAGAATCATCTTGCCCATCTCCTATCTGTTGCACTGCAAGAAAGAAAAAAAAAGGTTCATATCACTTTTAATTAAAACCCCATCAATAAATGTAATCAAAGTTTACACAGGCAGCTGGAGTAACTGAAATACTAGGGAAAGATTAAGTTCATCATTGCAAAAAGTCTAGGATAACACTACCAGTGACAGCAACTGAGTTTTCAGTCAATTAATTGTAGAATTGTTGAATTAATGATTGATTTCCAAAAGTCAAATACAATTGCTCATGAGATAGGTCATATACATTTACTCATGAGACAGGTCAGATACACTTGCTCATGGGATAGGTCATATACACCTGCTCATGAGACAGGTCATATACACCTGCTCATGAGACAGGTCATATACACTTGCTCATGAGACAGTTCATATACACCTGCTCATGAGACAGGTTATATACACCTGTTCATGAGACAGGTCATATACACTTGCTCATGAGACAGTTCATATACACTTGCTCATGAGATAGGTCATATAAACCTGCTCAGGAGATAGATGTTAAGTATTTCTCTGAAGGCCTGAGTTAAGGAAGTGTTGAAAGTTGACCAAATCAGTTTCACACATTCAGACAGGCCAATAATTTTAGCTTTGAATTAACAAGACATTACAACTGGCCGTAAAAGGTACGTTTTTGCAAGTCAACAACAACTAAAACATGAAATCCATCAAAGAAGGGTTCAAGTGAACTCAACTGCTGATTCAGGGCCTGCGGCGATGGGAGACAACAAATGTAGAGATATTTTTAACTCTGACACTTTGCCTAAAAAGTCAATATCAATTTTTAAATTTTATTACAACTTTAAATTTGTCTCAGGCAAAAACATGACTAATTAAAGCATTGGCCGACTGTGGGGGTAAGCGAAAGGCAGGCCTTTCGGACTTGCTAAGAGAAGATAATCCCAAGAGTTCGGCAGATGGGAAGAAGGGATTCACAGCCTACTATTACGGGACCAGGAAGATTTCCAAGGAGACCTGACCTTGTTCTCTGAGGTGAAATTAGACAATACATGAAAGGAGGCTGCATGCATAAGGCATTATAATGGGTGCATAAGACAACGACCCAACATAATTTATGCAAAGTTTGAGTAAAAAGTTAACTAATAATTATATCACACCCCACCCCCCTTTTTTTATGTTTTCATAATGTATGTTTAATTGGTCATGTTAACAGAATTAAATCTCAGAAATTCATGATAAGTCCCTGTGTAAATTCATAAGTTCATATGATATCATTATTCATAGTTCATATGATATCATTATTCATAGTTCATATGATATCATTCTATCATTTCCTTTCACTCACACAACATTTCCTCCCATTGGGTCTTTTATAAGTGTTCTTTTATTCTAACCTTCTATACATTTATAGAGCTAAGTGCCATGTCTTTTATCTTAATATGTACTTTTTAATCATATTAATTACTTTTTCAGCATGTTTATTCATAGATACCTAAATTTATAGATCAACATTTCAACAAATAAAAATAAAAAGCTATACTTACTATCAACCAAGTCTGAACTGTAAAAATGTTGGAGTCCAAACAGCTGCACTCCATCGGAAGTGACTGTTGATAAATGTGGAAGAGTCATTAAATCAGCAACAGGAAACTAGTCCAGTTGATATGAGACAACATCTTGGATGTTTGTGCTGGACAAGGCAGACAGCACACCGCACAGCAAGGACACAAATATGATGATGACATAACTAGCTGCTCACAGTGTAGAGGCATGTATTATGGGTCTTAGTCCACACTAAATTTTTGAATATATGAAACTAGACTCCTTGGCTTCAGCTAGATCTTTTGAATAGATGAAACTAGACTCCTTGGCTTCAGCTAGATCTTTTGAATATATGAAACTAGACTCCTTGGCTTCAGCTAGATCTTTTGAATAGATGAAACTAGACTCCTTGGCTTCAGCTAGATCTTTTGAATATATGACACTAGACTCCTTGGCTTCAGCTAGATCTTTTGAATAGATGAAACTAGACTCCTTGGCTTCAGCTAGATCTTTTGAATAGATGAAACTAGACTCCTTGGCTTCAGCTAGATCAGGTGATACACGAAGTAGGAAAGGACAATACCACATTTGGCTAGACATTACAGACGATCCAAAGGTTCGGTTACTTTCGTAAGTTTCTTTAGGACGCTAAACTATATTTATCTTGATCCGGAAATCACCAAAATTCTAACCAGACCAAATACACTGGGATTGGGTGATTCCAAATACTCACAACAAAGGAGGCAAAACACTTTAAAAAAGGGAAATTTGGACATTTCCCTAATGGATAGAGTCAGGAAACTTGTCATTTATTAGATTTTCTACCTTACTTTTGTACAAACAAATACAAAAATTTAATAAAGAAATGGTTAATAAAACCAAATAAACAATCATAATTTTTCTCTTCAAAATTTGCCATTTTCGCCAATTGCTCACCCGCACCTCCCCTTACTATAAAGCAAAGCCTATTCAGAGAATTATTTAGCAGTGTTGTAATTTTTAAAGTGAATTTTAGTAAAGAATTTTAAATAAATACATTGGTCATTAATTACTTTGATATCAACCGGATGTTGCAGTTTTCTTTAAGAAAAAACACCTCAATGTGGCAAGATGTATCAGAATACAGCACAAATATTTCAGTATTTGACATAAAATGGCTGGAGCTAAATTCTTTTTTGCTCTACTAAAATGTTGTTCAATAGTTGTAGTTAAGGTAGAGCAAGACAGTGTTTCAATAGTTGTAGTTAAGGTAGAGCAAGACAGTGTTTCAATAGTAAAACCCCAAAAAGATTGAGGTAGGTTAAATCTTTTTTCCACCCTTTCACTGACAACATGACATCCTCATCAGATTACCAAATAGCATTGCGTTAATATGACCTCCGCACCTTTCAGAGTAGACTATTGTAAATTATTACACATTATCCCATTATTTGGTGGAAGAAAATTCATATTTGTAAATATATTAAAACAAAAGCATACTAGTAGTATTAAAGAAATAATTTAATATTTTAAATTTATTATCTGTAATGTAATAAAGTAAAAACAGTAGGCCTCGGCTGCGCAGGATTAGTCACATCAGGCCCTTCCTAATAATTGATGCAACAAAGAGACTGATGTCTGCATTTGTGCTATCACGCATGGACTATTGCAATGCTCTCATGCTGGGTCTTCCAGCTACGCTCCTGGATAAAATTCAAATAGCACAGAATAATGCGGCTCGCATTGTTCTCCGCAAACGCAAGTTCGACAATGCAAAAACACTTCTGAGAGAGTTGCACTGGCTGCCGGTGCGTGCTCGCATAGAGTACAAAATCGCAACTTTGTGCTACCGCTGCTTACATGACCTGGGGTCGTCCTATCTGAAAGAGCTGCTGACGCCTTATGTACCCACTAGAGAGCTCCGCTCATCCGATAGTGGCAAACTCTCGACACCACCCGTTTGCCTTCAGACTTACGGAAAGCGCACTTTCGCATTTGCTGGTCCAACAATTTGGAACGCCCTTCCTGTCGATCTCAGAAACAACCTGACACTGGAGTCCTTTAAAACCGATTTAAAGACACATCTATTTCGCAAACACCTTCTGGGATGATTGTCTACCTTATTTTCCAGTTAATGCATAATGGCCGTGTTGCTTATGGTTGAAATGGCTAGTAAGACTTTGACATTGTATGCTTGTAATTAGTTTTTGTAGTGTTGCGTTTGTTTTAAATGTGGTAAATTATAGATTTGTTTTTTGTTGACTTTGTACCGCGCTTCGAGCCTTTGGGGATGAAGAGTGTTTTTGAAATGAACTTTATTATTATTATTATATTATTATGTAAAATTGAAAATGAGAGAATAGGGTCACAAAATAAGGTGGTTCAGGCCATCCTACCAGTACATAGACAGTAATTTGAAATAAATAAATTAATCACAAATTACTTTGATGTCAACCTGATGTTAATGCAATGTATGATGCTAGTGAAGAATGATAACAAAAATTTCAGGTCATCATTCGGGTCTCATCACCCTAGTCCAGTGTTGGGGTTTCCCAAAGTAATGGCATTGTGATTAGGGTGAGATAACTCTTAGCAAAACCCACCCCAATAACCCAATCTTTACGCAGTTGACCTGGGGAACCTGCATGACCTATATTACGAAAAAAAATTAAGTACTTATTGCAAAAATTCTAGGATAAAACTACCAGTGATTGTATTTGAGTTTTCATAAAATTAATTGTAGAACTAATTGATTAAGGTTAATTTTAGTTACTGTGGAAGTCATCTCTGGCCTTACTGCTAATCAATCACAGCCAGAGGCGTAGCGTGGTGGGGGCAGGGGGGGACAGATGTCCCCGGGCGCCAGCTAGTTAGGGGCGCCAAAATGTGCTTTGATGTTATTTTATTGATGAAAATAATGGGTTTGAGAGTTGAAAAAAAGAAAAAGGGGCGCTAAAAATGGATCTTGTCCCCAGGCGTGAATCATGTCCCCGGGCGCCAAACACCCTCGCTACGCCACTGATCATAGCCATGTCAGCAGTGTCGATGTCAGCACTACAATCATTGTAACAAGGGGTATAACATTGATAGTACCAGTGATGACAACAATCTCAACTGTCAACTTTTTGTCTCAACTACAGCTTTAAGTCAAGACTAACTGATACCTCAATTAGTACTTGTTGTAACTAAGAGTAAGTAAGAGAAGAGTCAAGAATAAAAGTTTCATTGAGTTTTAAAAGAATCTTTGACAGTAGAATCTTGATCAGGTTGACAGCAGTTAGGCCTAATCCAAATTATCGGGCTGAAATAGGAATGGGTAGGACACCCCAAGCATATTAACACAATATCAGTGATTAATCAGCCACGGATTAACTATGTAATTAGCTTGGAAAATCCATTGTAAGCATAACTTTTAGGTAATTATACTATCTTGGCTAAAATGCAGTTAGTGGTGTCTCTCCTAAGACCCCTACCCAGAATTTATTTTCTTTCTTATTTTTGTATTGAAATTTATGGGAACATTTGAAATGTCTGGTTACATTGCGACATTATTATAGTTTTATAGAAATACATAGTATAGAGTATAAGTCATAGGCATTTAGGTGGATTACTTCATTTTCAACCAATAAAAAATTAGCATCTTTTTTCTGCTGTTCATTTTGGTCTTGGCCTTGGGGTGTAAGCAAGGAATTCAAGGATGAGTTTTTCTACTTTTTATTCCTTTTGAATCTCATTGTTCAGGTCCAATCGTTGGTCCAGTCACCCTACGTCCTGTATTGGCGTTGAGATTCGGATTCCCCAAAGTGACGTCACTACGCTTAGGGTGATACAACTATTGACTAAACCCATCCCCTTAACTGCACATTTACCCTGTTATCAGATGACTTTAAGACTTGGGTCTTGGGTATGTGAATTATCAGAGTTTGGTACCCGCCTACTAAAACTAAAATGTATCCCTAAACCTAACCTGAAACCTAATTCACACTTAAAAGATGTGGTGGCATCCACAACTATCATTAGCCAAGAGTTTCTGTTGTCTGCGGTGTTGAGTGACAACTTTTACTTGTAATTAAGTCAAACTAAACTAGATGTACCCAGGAGTTGTATACCCGGGGCCGCCCCGGCTTATGCCCGGTTAACTTGCATGCATTGAATGCATTGCAACAAAATTGTATAACTAACCAACTACCATGTGGTAAAAAAAATTAATTAACAATTAGATTTACCATTTTTCAAAATGATTTTTCCTGCAATGCGATCAAGAAAATATTCTGAACCTTTGAATATTGAGTTATTCTTCGTTGTAAGAACATATTGGCGAGCCTCCCGTGCTTTTGTTACCTCCGCCATTTTTAAAACGAAGTGGCTCCGTTTTCGTCGACTGTCAAAAGTGTCAACGGACTTACCTGAGTGAATTAGTGGTTCGCAAAATAAAAGTATTAATAATTTTATTTCCCTTTTTAATTCTGCAGCACGCAGAGGGAAAAAAAATGAGGGTTTGGGGGCTGGTCAGTTTGATACCAAGCAGAGGCATTGTGTGGAGACCCTGCAACCCTTGCGGGTTCTTGGGGCCTCGGCTTATAAAGGGGCTCCAATATTCCAATATGTGATGTTGAAACAAATTAAAAAGAAATTTTCCTGGGCTACAAAAAAAAAAAAAGTTGCTGTTAAGGTGGACGTCTGGGGATGGTGAGTTAAAACGGGACACATTTTTTATCTCCTTCTACTTTTAGCAACATTGGAGCAGAAGAAATAAATATTGGCTAAATTCTTCAGTCACGGTAAAGCCTTTTATTCAGATTTAGTTCATGGAAAGAGGGTTTGGGGGGGGGGGGAGGAGGTAGGGGTTGAAACAAAACAAGCAGCAAATAATACCATGAGTGGTATCAAAATCAAAGATCGGCATTGACTGATGTTATTTTTATAACGAAGTGATGATAGAAAAAAATCGTTTGAGGTCTGTGTTGCAAACTTCCTTCTGAGGAGCAGTTGCCAACTAACCAACTCCCGCAGTAGGCTGCAGTAGGTACATTAACAGAATGGGCCGTTTGCTAGGCTCCGTGTAGTCTAGGGCAGTGGTCCCCAACCTTTTTATCGCCGCCGACCGGTCAACGCTTGCTAAATTTACCGCGGCCCACTAAGGGGGTGGGGGGTGGGGTGGGGGCGCGCTGATTGTTTTAAAAATGTTTTGCTTTAATAATTTAAATTTAATTGTATTTAAAAACGCCTTCAAAATAAAATACAGTTACACCAACATTTAAAGTGATTAAACATTTTATCTCGCTAGAACGCTAGATCAATGAGAGCATTTTTTGACATGAGCTTGTTTTTCTGCAACGAAACGGTTACATTTGGGGGGGGGGGGTAATAGGAGACAATGAAACCCGATGTGTGTTGCTTGTGTCCAGCTTATTCCGTTATTCTGTTTTGGCTGTTGTCACTGCAGAAACTAGGGGAAAACACTATTTTATATAATAATATATAATTATGATGTATGTTTTCGTCCTTCCGTACACACTGCAATGACGACAATAAGTACCGTAACAACACCGGATGAAATGATAGGTCTATATTTACATCATTCTATCATCATCACAGTAGTCAGTAGGCCTAATTACACATCCACAAGCGTACTCTCGACACACTACCACCGACAAGCTAGAGCTTGCACCGAGGGACTACGCCGATAACTAACATAGCTCCACTCTCTAACAATAATTCTGATTACTTACTTGCGAACCATATTCTCACATCCTTACTAGATTCACAACTGGTCCTCACGATAACAATTATTTCTCACACAACTCGACCACGCCCACAAACCAGTTCATAGCAATCTGTTAAAAGGGGGGGGGGGGGAGAGTTATTTTTTTAAGAAAGACTTTGTATCAAAGACGACTTTAAACGAGCTAAAAAGAAGAAAATAACTAAATATTCTTAAAATGCATGACGGCAAAAAAGACCCCCCCTCCCCCCAAAGACACACCAGACATCCAACCAGCAAATGAAGACTTACAAATAGAAGAAAGCGCACCAAATTAAGGAAGAAATAGCCCTGGCCATCAAGCAGCTCACATTAGGGAAAGAAACGGTACCGGATAACATCACAGCAGAGACGATGAGAGCTGATATAGATACCATAGTCAACATGCTACACCCTCTGTTTGAAAAGATATGGGAAGAAGAGAGAGTTCCAAAAGATTGGAAAGAAGGATACCTCATTAAGATACCAAAGGAATGGGATCTCAGCAATTGTGCAAATTACAGAGGAATCACACTGCTGCCTGTCGCTGGAAAGGTCTTTCACAGAATTATTTTGAATAGAATGAAAGACCAGGTCAACCTGCAGTTACGAGATCTACATGCTGGCTTTCGCCGAAACAGATCATGCACAAATCAAATTGCAACATTAAGAATCAACGTAGAACAGTCCAATGGATGGAACGCCCCTATATATAAATTGTATAAACTACGAAAAAGCCTTCGATAGCCTGGACCGACAAACCTTGTGGAAACTTCTTCGGCACTATGGAGTACCAGGAAAACAAGTCAGGATCATTCAGAGTTCTGACGAAATGACTTGCAGGGTGATACACGAAAGTAGACTCACTCACAGATGCCTTAAATTGGCAACTGGAGCCAGGCAAAGATGTTTCTTGTCCCCCTTGCTATTCCTTCCCGCCTTTGCCTGGATCATGGAACAATCCACAGACAAAAAGATGAACGGAATACGGTGGACACACTGTAAACAACTGAATGACCTTGACTTTGCAGACGACATTGCACTTCTGCCCCACGACTGAATGACCTTGACTTTGCAGACGATATTGCACATCTGTCCCACGACTGAATGACCTAGACTTTGCAGACGACATTGCACATCTGTCCCACAACCAGCAACAAATGCAGGAGAAAACAAAAGATGTAGCCACCATTTCATCACAGCTCGGACTCAATATAAATAAAGGCAAGACAAAGATCATGAAGGTAAACTCAGTGAACAAAGAGCATGTCTCTCTGGCAGGAAAGGAACTGGAAGAAGTGGAGTCTTTCATATAGGCTGCACCGTCGACATAAATGGCTGATCCGACACTTCTATTGCTGCCCACAGATACTACTTACCAGCTAAGTGCTATTTCTTATTTTTATACCGACTTTTCTGTTGTTTTGTTCGCTGACGAAGGCTTTCTGCCGACACGTTCGCTGTTTTGTTGCGTTTAATTTTTCAGGTTTAACCCTACTCTGTTTTACTCATTTTATTTTGATCCGACGCGGATGTAAGGGCGAGAATTCGAAAAGCAATATCAGCATTTGTGCTACTAAAGAACATAATATGAGAGTCGACTGAGCTAAAGATGCAAACCAAAGTCAGAATCTTTAACCCTAATGTCAAAACAGTCTTACTATATGGAGCAGAAACTTGAAAAACAACAGCGAGTACTATATATGCAAACAGTACAAACCTTCGAAAACACATAAATGACCAAATGCCGTCACCATCAAAGCTCTACTAGAAAGGAATTACCAGGTGCCCATTGATGAAGATTGCATAAAGAAAGGTTGGAGGTAGATAGGGCATACTCTCCAAAAAAAAAAAAAAAAATCAAGAAAGCATCACAAGACAATCCCTAACATGGAAACCACAGGGAAAAAGAGAGTAGAACTGATTGTTTTAAAAATGTTTTGCTTTAATAATTTAAATTTAATTGTATTTAAAAACGCCTTCAAAATAAAATACAGTTACACCAACATTTAAAGTGATTAAACATTTTATCTCGCTAGAACGCTAAATCAATGAGAGCATTTTTTGACATGAGCTTGTTTTTCTGCAACGAAACGGTTCCATTTGGGGGGGGGGGTAATAGGAGACAATGAAACCCGATGTGTGTTGCTTGTGTCCAGCTTATTCCGTTATTCTGTTTTGGCTGTTGTCACTGCAGAAACTAGGGGAAAACACTATTTTATATAATAATATATAATTATGATGTATGTTTTCGTCCTTCCGTACACACTGCAATGACGACAATAAGTACCGTAACAACACCGGATGAAATGATAGGTCTATATTTACATCATTCTATCATCATCACAGTAGTCAGTAGGCCTAATTACACATCCACAAGCGTACTCTCGACACACTACCACCGACAAGCTAGAGCTTGCACCGAGGGACTACGCCGATAACTAACATAGCTCCACTCTCTAACAATAATTCTGATTACTTACTTGCGAACCATATTCTCACATCCTTACTAGATTCACAACTGGTCCTCACGATAACAATTATTTCTCACACAACTCGACCACGCCCACAAACCAGTTCATAGCAATCTGTTAAAAGGGGGGGGGGGGGGGGGTTTTTTTTTTAAGAAAGACTTTTTATAAAAAACGACTTTAACAGGAGTAAAAAAAAAAAAAAAACAAAANAAAGACCCCCCCTCCCCCCAAAGACACACCAGACATCCAACCAGCAAATGAAGACTTACAAATAGAAGAAAGCGCACCAAATTAAGGAAGAAATAGCCCTGGCCATCAAGCAGCTCACATTAGGGAAAGAAACGGTACCGGATAACATCACAGCAGAGACGATGAGAGCTGATATAGATACCATAGTCAACATGCTACACCCTCTGTTTGAAAAGATATGGGAAGAAGAGAGAGTTCCAAAAGATTGGAAAGAAGGATACCTCATTAAGATACCAAAGGAATGGGATCTCAGCAATTGTGCAAATTACAGAGGAATCACACTGCTGCCTGTCGCTGGAAAGGTCTTTCACAGAATTATTTTGAATAGAATGAAAGACCAGGTCAACCTGCAGTTACGAGATCTACATGCTGGCTTTCGCCGAAACAGATCATGCACAAATCAAATTGCAACATTAAGAATCAACGTAGAACAGTCCAATGGATGGAACGCCCCTATATATAAATTGTATAAACTACGAAAAAGCCTTCGATAGCCTGGACCGACAAACCTTGTGGAAACTTCTTCGGCACTATGGAGTACCAGGAAAACAAGTCAGGATCATTCAGAGTTCTGACGAAATGACTTGCAGGGTGATACACGAAAGTAGACTCACTCACAGATGCCTTAAATTGGCAACTGGAGCCAGGCAAAGATGTTTCTTGTCCCCCTTGCTATTCCTTCCCGCCTTTGCCTGGATCATGGAACAATCCACAGACAAAAAGATGAACGGAATACGGTGGACACACTGTAAACAACTGAATGACCTTGACTTTGCAGACGACATTGCACTTCTGCCCCACGACTGAATGACCTTGACTTTGCAGACGATATTGCACATCTGTCCCACGACTGAATGACCTAGACTTTGCAGACGACATTGCACATCTGTCCCACAACCAGCAACAAATGCAGGAGAAAACAAAAG